AGGTTATTAAGCCAAAAGGTTTACTAGACATCATTTGAGGTGAGTCTTCTCACTATACTTTACCTAGAGTGGTAATTATGTGTGACCGGAAGGTCTTATGTGCTATGATAAGTATGTGATGTATGTTGTTATATGATATGTATGTGCTATGTTATGTTATGAGTATTATGATATGGACCAGAAGGTCAACGGTGTATGGGCCGGAAGGTCAAGATGATACGGACCGGAAGGTCATAGAAGTGGGACCGGAAGGTCTATCCGGATTATGGGACGGAAGTCCCCTGAGACGCATTGACCGGAAGGTCTTGTAGAGTTGTAGCCTTGAGTGGCGTATGTGTTGTATGTGGTATTTTTGGGGAACTCACTAAGCATTTATGCTTATCGTGTTGTGTGATATGCGTTTCAGGTACTAGCGAGGATCGCGGGAAGGCGCCGGCATGATCTGTACACACTGATTAAGATCCATGTGTTTGAGATTCTGGGATATGATTTCAGAGATAACATTTGATTGAATGAGTTTCAAAATTATTTTATGAAATTTACTATGTTTGGAATGAAAAATTGTTTTTCGAGATTTTACGTCGTTACACCAATCCGTTTAAGTTGTCCTTTCAGACGTCTTGAGGTGTTTAGTAGCATAAAAATGTGGTCTTGATCATTTCTTGCCATCCATGCATGTGCTACAAGGTCTTAATGGGTTAAGTAGTTAACGTTTTTAGTGTTGAGCACTTATTAGCCATGCAAGACTATAAAGTTGGAAACTTTACGGTCAAAGACAACATTTTGGACTTGGATCTGCATTTTAGACGAAAAGATCAAGTATTAAGCACTTATTGCATTAAGAAGGAGTTCATCTGCGTACGATGGGTGTACCAATTGGTACGCTGCGCGTACGCGGTCAAACCCCGCTTCCTAGTCACCAAGCGAGTATCCCCTGCGTACAGAGGAGTACGCCCAGTGTACTCGGCTGGGTTGACTCAGCTGGTTTGTTAGGTTTGACCAATCTTGACCAAAGGGTATTTTGGGTAATTTGGTATTAATTTTAGTTGGGCAATATAAGTAGAGAAGGTTTTCGAAGCAGAGATTTATCCACCTTGCGTTCAATCTGAGAGGTGAGTTTTCCTCACTGTACTCGTGGTCGAAGGCACTAATGTCGACCACTAGATTAGTTATCCTGGTTAGGATAGTGCTATGCTAGTATATGGCTAATTAGTAGATCTGTATGATTATTTGTATTTGTTGGCTTTATGTGTATGTTTATCTGTTACACATGTTGACATATTGTGTTTGGGTTGAGGCGGTCCTGCTTTGTATTGAAGGCCAAGACACCCGGGGACAACCGGATAGGCTGTAGGCCCTACGAGGCGGTCCAGTCAAGCCGACAGCCTGTAGAGCGGTCCAGATAGACTGTAGGCCCTGCAAGACGGTCCAGTCATGTCGATGGCTCGTATAGCGGTCTGGATAGGTTGTAGGCCCTACGAGGCGGTCCAGTCAGGCTGAAGGCTCATATTTGCATGCTTTGTTTGTTTTGTAGTGTGTTGATACTTTGGGGGAACTCACTAAGCTTCAACTTACAATTTTAGTTTATTATTTCAGGTACATCTGAGGATCATGGGAAAGAGAAGGCCTGATCGTGCACATCTTCCTATTTCTTTGATATGGGTATTTAGGACACTCTGATATGACTTTAATTTTAAAACAATGGCTCTTTTTATAAACAATGATGGTTAATGGTTGATTTTAAAAATTTTAAATTTTGTGATTTTCGGAGTGTTACATTGAGACTCAATGTCAACAAACCCGGATGGTTGGGTTGAGACTCTGTGTCAACAAAACCGGATGGTTAGGTTGAAACTTTGTGTCAACAAACCCGAGATGGTTGGGTTGAGGCCATGAGCCAACAAACTCTAACTGCATACAATATAATTGTATATTTCGATGTATTGGGTATTTTGGGAAACTCACTAAGCTTGGGCTTACATCTTTGATTTCTTGTTTCGGGTACTTTAGATATCGAAGAAAAGAGAATGTTTGATCGTACACATCCTCTGTAGTTTGATTTCTGCCCGATTTGAACACTCTGATTTTGAATGATTGTATTTGGCACTTATGTTTGTGATTTGGGTTTTTATATAAACAAGGGGTTTTATTTAAATGAAAAATGAAAAATTTTATCGTGATTTTTGGGATGTTACAGTGTTGATTATTGGAAAGTTTAGTATGTTTAAAATATATATTAATAAACTTTATGCTAGATGAGAACTACATGGCTGGTTGGTTGGTGATATGCTCCATGTCTCCACATCATCAAACTGCTTCATCCATCGTATCCTTCCATGGATGTGAGAAAAATGTGTTATTGTAAATATCATTCTATATCATGAACCCTTAGCATTCATTCTATGCCGGAGAAAGGTGTAATAGCTAGTCAGAGTCTAGTGTTCATATATATATATATATATATATATATATATTATATATATATATATATATATATATATATATATATATCAATTTTTAAAATATTGAGAAAATATGATTATCTTGAAATAGAGCTTACTTTTCATGGTTATTTTAGTGATCAACTCTAAAATTTAAAGGTTTCTAATAATTACAATAGTTTGAAGTTAAGAGAGCATCTATAATGGTTAAACTTATTACTGTTTGAATTAAATCGTTTATAGCCTTTTACTATTGGAGTTAAAGACTTATTTTGTGTGCTTTTTTCATCAATCACACCGTATATTTTGTTTTCTTATTCTATTTTATGTTTGGAAAATTGACTTATTAAGGTAATTAACTTTTCGGTTTGTTCACATCCGAGTAACTTTTTTTTGTATATATCTAGATAACAAACTTTTTGGAAGCGTTCACATATGACTATTATGATCGGCTGTAGCAGGTTACATCCGCTCATAATGGTCATATGTGAACACTTTCAACAAATTAGTTACCTAGATGTGTACAAAAAAAGTAGTTACCTAAATATGAACAAAACGAAAAGGTAAGAGTAAATTACACGAATGGTCCATGTGGTTTGGGGTAATTTGCACGTTTGATTCCTAACTTATTTTTTAACTCGAATGGTCTTTACTGTTTATTTTTGTTGCGAGCTGGTCCATGTCTTACCTAAAAAGACTATTGTGCCCTTATTAATTTATTATTTAATTAATTTTCTTATTTATGTATTTATTTTTTATATATTAAAAAAATAATAGACTTAACATATTTGTATCTCCTCACCTTAAACGTGAAACCACATTTGAGAAATTTAATTTGAGTCCCATTAGTCACCATCCCATCTTTCATCCTCATCAACTTCTATTTCCTTTGCATCTTTAGTGACATCGATGTTTTCACAATCCATTTTTTTTCGGTCTTTCAACTCCGACGAACCAACACCACAACCCATTATCTCTTCATCGAATTTTCCACCATCACAACCCAATGCATCACAATCCTTGCAGGAAAAGAAAATTGATACCAAAAAGAAAAATTAGAGAACCATATCAATTGAAAACTATAACTTGAAATACAAATCAAAACATGAAGCTCTATTAACAACATTATAAGTTTTAACTCATCAAACGGTGTATTGTTTTATATTATTGGTCCCCAATTTTGATACTTTTAGTGTTTAGTAAATTTAATTTTTTATATTTAATATCTTAAATAATAAAATTTTATAAAACAACGATGTGTTTTTTTTCTATGTCAAATCTAGAGTTATTATTATTATTATTATTATTATTATTATTATTATTTTTACCAAAGTAGTGTATTTTAAAAAGATATTACCAAAATGGTGTGGTTTTAGAAATATTTACCATTTAGGTTAAATTGTATACCAAATCAAAATTAGAAGGTAAAATAAAAAATAAAGAGTAAATTACACGATTCGTCCCTTGCCCAAGTGGCAAAAAGCGTGTTTGGTCCCTATTTTCAAAAATTAACTCAGACAGTCTCTCATTTGTTTAAATTTTGCACACTTCATCCCTAATGTCGTTGGCCAACCATAAAAAGACAATTTTGTCCTTATCTATTTATTTTTTTATTTATTTTTATTTGTTAGTTATATTTAATTAATTATATATTTTATTTGTTTATTTAAAGTAATAGACCCCACCTAATTAGTTTTATTTGTTACCCTCTTTATCTCTCTCTTCATCCAAACACCATTCCTAATCAACTAGAAGCCTGGGCAACTCCGATCACCACTAACCAACCATCGCCGACCAATACTCTCCGGTTAACGGCTAACCATCTCCGACATATATTCCCCGGTCAGCCACTGACCACCATCTCTTACCACCTACAACCACCTACCACATCTCTTACACTCTCATCCTATGTTTCCATATGTACCCTTTTTCACTTACACATTTTGCGGCACACCACCACCCATCTTTTCTGGCACCACCACCATCACCCACTGCTCTTACCTCAGACAACTAAATCCCATAAATGGAAAACTAATCACTCATCTCTTTCTATACAAACACATCCACACCAAAAATGATTTCCAATAAAATACAAAACATGTAACAAATCTGAAAATTTATATAAATCATTCATTCCCTTTCCTCTCTTCTTTCACCTGTGTAGAACCCGCTGGAAAGGTAAGCGATCGTTGATTTCAGTGGTGGCTAGGGCGATGGTCAGAACGAAGGAGGAGGAGATCTAGAGTAGCGGGTATGGTGTTAGACCCCAATGGGTAGAAAGATAAAGGTGGTGCTTCAGTTGTTGGCATGGAGAGGAAGGCCGACATCAATTCTATTTAGTTAGGGTTTTGAGTGAGAAAGAAGGAGATGACAAATGAAGTGTCTTTAGTGGGTAGATCTGAAAATATACGTTTCCGGCACCACCACCACCACCAACCAATGAACACCGGAGTAGACACGTTTTTTCGGCACCACCACCAATAAACAAACCGTAGAATGTAGATCTGAAAATGGAGAAGATAGAGAGTTACATTTGGAGTGCAGATCTGTAAACCATCGATGGCGGTGGTGACGCCGACGATAGTGGTGACGACGGTGTCTCTGGTGACCATCTCTCAAGTAAAGATGAAATGAAGAAGATGAACTGATGATGATTGAAATGTATAGGGAGGATTAGAGTAGATGATAAGTGTTTGTGGTGGTGGGTCCATTGTTTGTTTTTTATTTTCTTTTAAATTGTTAATAACCAACAAATCAAAAATGATATCAAAAAAGAAATATAAATGGTAAAATAGTCATTTTACCGTCGTCAAGGACGGTCCGAGTGAGAAAAAAACATTATAGGGACGGTCCGAGTTAATTTTGAAAATAGGGACCAAACGTGCTTTTTTGGCACTTGGACAAGAGACGAATCGTGTAATTTACTCAAAAAGAAAATAAATTGACTTACCGGGGTAATTAATTTTTCTGTTTTTTCACATCTGGGTAATTATTATTATTATTATTATTTTTACACATCTAGGTAACGAACTTTTGGAAGTGTTCACATATGATCATTATAACCGGATGAAACCTGCTACAACCGGTCATAATGACATATGTAAATACTTTTAAAAAGTTTGTTACCTAGATATATAAAAAAAAAATAGTTATCCAGGTGTGAAAAAACCGAAAAGTTAATTACCTAAACAAAGTCGATTTCCCTTTATGTTTTGTATATCTAACCTCTTATCAATTATTAAATATATTTAAATTTAAAATATTTTTTATTGCTTTTCTAATTAATTGATTTTATAAAATACTCTGTAATAATTAATATATGAAATATTAAATTTATAATGATTATATAATATTTTTTCTATGCACTTTTTTTTAGCTATATACTAAATATACTTTTCATATTTTATATTATAAAAAATGACCCGATAGTTTTGTATTTTTAGTTTTGTTTGTGTGGAACATTCAATATTTTATTAAAAGGATGTTATTTGTGCTTAAAAGGAAACAAAACTCGCTCTCAAAGATATAATTTTTTACATATAATCTCATTATTGCAATATTTTTCCGAACGATGCATTTTAATATTGTTAATTAGTTGAATATTTATGTCTACTTATATTTTTTTTTATAAAAAATATATATATTATAAAAATATGTGTATTTAGAAAATAGTAAATTAAATGAAAGACTTTATAGACATTTTTATATAGACGGAGATAATCAGTTAAATTTGTAATAAGTTATGATAACATTAAAGTAGTAGAATAAAAAAGAAAGTAAGTATTATTTTAAGTCAATTTTACTTCATTTCGTAAGTTTTTTATTTGTTTTTATCACTTTATTTTCAACATTTAATGAATTTATTCCACATTGATCGTTATTGTTTAAAACAGATAAAATATTATTATGAGATGGAAATGGTATAATAATGTAACTAGGTGTGAAACCCGTGTATTACACGGGTTTAGAAAAAAAAATTTAATATAAAATTATAAGCATTACATATTTTTTAAAATAACAAGTTTATATAAATACAAAGAATATAATAAATAAAGTAAGTAATTTAATATATAATGTAAGATATTTAAAAGATTGTATATCATTTAGTATGAAATTTAATAGAATGATTTACTTTACATATATATAAATCTCATTAAAATATGGATTTTAAAATTAAGAAAATGAAAATTACAAGAAATTGATAAGTGGAAAAAAAATAATTCAAAAACTTTTAAAAAGTAACATGTGACAAAATCATGATATTTGGCAAAATTGATTTTCATTTATTAGGTTAGATAAAGTGAATGATAATTTATTTACACTCCTGACACGATATTTTTTATTTAATTAAAATTTACTTTATTGGATTTTATAAAAAAAACAAATTCATTTATGAGAATTTTTGAATTATTACCTTTTTCAACCCAATAATCAATACCAATTTATCTATTTTTTTATTACATTTACACACACAGAATCGATGCGTCTGTGAAAATTTTCACGCAGTTTCTGGGTTTCAGTGTGTGTATGTGTATTTTTTTTGTTATAAGAAGTTCAAAACTGCTCCTCAAAATCCCATAAATTTCACCGGATTACAGTAATATTCTCTTCTAATTAGGGTTTAGTTTTTAAAATTTGATGCTTGATTTCATTTTTACAGGTTTTTAATTATTTTATAGCTTTCCTTGGATATATTTGAAGAGCTTCTGCCAAATACTAGAATTTCCTGAGGTAATTTTAATTATGATTTCATTGCTATCTTAACACTGTATGTATTTAGATTGAAAAGGTAATGTAGAATGATCCGTTTGCTAATTTTAGTTAAATTTCGTTTTTCTTTTTTTGATTATGATTTTTGAAATTAATCTGGATTTATCAAGTTTTGACTGCTAAAATCTTGAATCCTATTATCTAAAAAAAAAAAAAAAAAAAAAAAGACACATGTACTTGGTTTAACGATTTTTTTCTCTTCTATTGGAATTTACTTTCTTCAATTTGTGAAGTACTGTAGATGATTCATCCAAACTACTTGGGTTATTATTATTTTTTTTATAATTTTCTTTTTACATTTTTAATGTAGCATTCACGTATCACATGGATTCAAGGGAAAATGTGATTCCAGCAGTAGAAACAATAGCACCCGAGGCTCCATCAAGCTATCAATTGGCTCCAAGAAACGATAATTCCAATCTGCTGATTACACCACCTGGTTTTTCACCGGTGAGTGGTGGAATCCCGAGTTCATTGGTGAAGAAAAAGAGGGGTAGGCCAAGGAAATACGGTCCAGATGGGGTGCTGGCTGGTGGCGGCGGCACATTGTCACCACTTCCCATCTCCGCCTCTGCTCCGCCTGGTTCCGGTGGTGGGTATTCTGATGTAAAATTTGGTGAAGGGGAAGGAAGTGGCGGAGGCAGCTTTGTGGTGGAGAAGAAGAAGAAAGTGAAAATGAATTCTTCCGAGGGCAAGTTAAAGAATAGTTACGGGAGTATGGATTTAGGTATTTTTTTTTAATCTACTTTAAGATTAAAATATGTGATTAAAACCAAAAATTTAAAATAGCTCATTAAAACCAACTTAATGTTAATTAATTACCAAAATTTCAATTTGATACATTTATAACCTATGGTCATTTTTCTTTTGCAATTTTAGGCGACAGGATTTCATCTGGTGGGAGTTTTACTCCTCACATGGTCACTGTTAATCCGGGCGAGGTATGTTTAATGAATAAAAAAAAAAAATCATATTATACATGATTATAATAGGAATTATTCCAAATTTCGTTGTATTTTTGTGGATATATATGTTATTGATAAAAGAAAATATCTTTGTAGTGAAATAAACAAATGTTTTTTTTTTTTTTGGTATTTGATGAAGCTAGAGTGAGTAGCTAATGATGATATGAAACGTTCTAGTGATTAATTTAAGTACATTTTGATAATTATGTTTAAAATATATTATTAGAAATGATGAATAATTATGATTGGGGTTTTCAGGATGTTACCTCTAAAATAATTTCGTTCACAAAAGACGGGCCCCGGTCAATATGCATTTTATCGGCGGTTGGTGTCATTTCACATGTGACTCTGCGCCATGCCGGTTCATCTTCATCTGGAGGCACCGTAACATATGAGGTGTGAAACTTAATTTATACTAAGAAATTGTAACCTACTTTCATTTATTTGTTTATTATATTATACTTTATAAAACCTGACCCAATTATAGCAATGTCATCCATTGGTAAAATTTTCACCTTAACTAGAAAAAATTTGAATGTACAATGCTATAATTTTTGTAGATTTTAGTAAAGTATGATGCCTTAATAAGAAAAGGATGAAAGTACAATGTGTTAATAAGGAAAAAAGCGAAAGTAGAATGTTGTAATGGGAATAATGAAAGTATGATGCTATAAATTATAATAAACAAATAAATGAAAGTGTGTTGCTATTTGTTGCAATTAGGGAAGATTTGAAATACTTTCATTATCCGGATCTTTCACAAGTGGGGAGATTGAAGGGCAAGAAAGTAAAATAAGCATAGCTTTATGTAGCCCTGATGGCCGTGTGGTTGGGGGTCAACTTGGAGGACTTCTCACAGCCGCTGGTCCTGTTCAGGTATATGCAATTATATCATATACTTATGTATTATAGTTTTTAAAAAAAATGTTTTATTAAATTAAATTTTTTACATTTAAATAAGTATGTATAACACAAGCATTTATAGAGTATCACACATACAATTAAAGAAATGATACACATTGATGTGCTGGAAAACGTTTCTAAAGAAATCTACCCAATTATAGCTTGAAAAAATTCTTTGTATTTGGATGACACTGCTATAAGTAACTTGATAGATTCTTCAAAGTACAAATGAAAGCACGTTGCTGTTTCTTGCATTCAACCCTTTATTTTATTTTATTTTAATTATTTAAAAAAAATCAGGTGGTGGTGGCGAGTTTTCTACCAAACATAGGCAGTCCAATTGACCCAAAACCAAAAAAACAAAAGACCATTGTTGCCCCTACCGAACCTCATGCTATCAACATAGAACAAGAGAAAAAGTCGAATGAAATTGAACATGCACATGAGGCGGGAGGAAATACCAATTCTACCCCTACCCCTACACGTAATTTCCAATTTGAGAACCACACAACAGGGGCAAGTGTGCATGACTGGAGAAGAGCTGCTACAGACATGAATGTGTCGTTGAGTGAAGATTAAATTAATGTGTTAATTATCTTCATTTATCTTATCAACTGAATTAATTAGTTGCGAATTTTAGGAAATTTAAGACTTAACTAGGAATCTTTATCTTATTCTTATGAGATCATAGGAAATATGTTGTAACTTGTAATGTTGTTTGTTTGTTTGTTTCCAAGTTTGTTAATAGTCAAAGGGTCTTCTCACACGTGGCACATGCACACACCCCCATGCCAACACGTGACTTTTTTTTTTAATTTTCAATTTTTTTTTATTCAATTCAACTTTACTGAAGTATTTGAATGCATATAGTCATACAGAAACAAAAAAACAAACCATTGTACTCTAAAGGTTTTTTTTGGATGTAATACAAAGTTATTATATAAGACATTGCATAAAAAAATAAAGCATATACTGATATATATGCTCTCAGTTTTATTATTACCTAAATGGTTCGATTTTGTCATTTTTTTTTAATTGAACTACCTAATACATTTCATATTATAAATATAATATAGTTCAATACATATCGATTGAAGGCAAACAAGCAACAAGCTGCGCCGCTAGTCCTTTCTGGATAGCAAAACCAATTCTTTTGAAAACAACATTTGTGGATCTAGGAGATATGACATTAGAATGCATGACCCGTTGGACTCTGTTGAGGAGTTCCACCGCATCTGGTGCGAGAAAACCAAATGTATCGAATGCAAAAGGTACAAACACATGTTGATTTTCTATACATGCATTATCGTGCTTTACCACTTTGCACGCAACGGCTTTCAAAGCGGCATGCCCTGCTGTGAAACCCCCGCTCCCCAAACCAACGAGAGGAGAGACCCCAGTAAGATCCACGCACGCATGCTTCCCTCCTATTCATCCAAAGACCAAAATATCAGCGAAAAGATGATTTAAAAGATGATTTAAATCAAGTGGATTATAAATTTCATCAAGTATCCAAAAAATGATTTAAAAGGATATAACATTACCTAGACAGAAAGTATAAGAAGAAACATGCATCACTTGTAATGACTTGTCTGATGATTACATTCCAAACTCTTTCAAGTCGTTTTAAATGAAATCTCTAAGACAAAGCATCGCCTCTCTTATAATGGCTATGTGCCAACTCATCATCTCAAAACATTCTTGTGGCTGTATGCCAAGACGGGTCCTTTGACCCACCTAAATTTTTAAGTTTTATTATAAATTATATACAAAGAAATATTTGGACATGCTATAAAAATGCCATAAATAATATTAATGACATATCTTATAATGTTTGACAAAAAAGATAAAGGAAAAAAAATTAGAATTATAAACAAAAGAATTATAGAATGCATATCATACTTGGTTGCATAAAAAAGTCTCACAACTCCAATAAAATAGTGGTGGGAGGTTTTCCATCATAAATAGATGTTTCCTTTTTCACACTTACATGTACCATAAACTTGTTGAGTCATGGTTCCGGATTTACTCCAAGTTTAAGTTGGTTTTATAAAAAAAATAATAATAATAAGGAATAATCGGTTTTGTCTTGGTTCTCTCACCATCGTTTTTTATATATATTGAACCGATTAATTTTTTGGTTGAACTCGATTTACTCTTGCATCAACTTTGTTGAACCTGGTTAGTGAACCAAGTGGTTTTCTATTCTAGCATCACCATAAAATCATAGTATCCTCGCAACATATTTCATCTTTTTAAACAAGCACTCCACAAAGTCCAAAAAATATAAAATTTCAACCTTGTGAGAAGAGAAGAACTTTCATGTAGGTTGATAATAAATAACATTTTACTTTGGCAAACTGCCTTGTTTTGGTGATATATATATATATATATATATATATATATATATATATATATATATATATATATATATATATATATTAAAAACTTAGCAATCTAAATTTTTTTGGATATTGAATTTTCATTAATTTAATTATCAGCGTACAACGAGTGAGATGACAAACGGGCAACAAGTTGCGCCGTTAAGCTTTTTTGTATGGTAAAACTAATTCTTTTGAAGACTATATCCATAGATCTAGGCGATATAATATTGTTATGTATGATATGTTATACTCTATTAAGAAGCTCCACCGCATCCAACGCGAGGAAACCAAACATATCAAATGCAAATGGTATGAACACATGTTGATTTTCCATGCATGATTTCTCATGTTTGGTGACTTTGCCTGTAGCAGCTTTTAAAAGAGCCTGCCCCGCCGTGAAACCCCCCAACCCTAAAGCCCATGAGAGGGGATACCCCTGTAAGGTCCACACATGTGTGTTTCCCTCCAACCTATCCAAAAATCAAAAAGTCAGTCGGTCTAAAGGTTGACCTTCCTTCTGTCGGGTCAGTCAAGAAATTCACAGATGCCTCTTTCTTGGCGGAAACCCTGACATGCTTAAATATGTCAAACAAAACATCCCTAAGCATATCATGGCAGTATTTGAACCCCGTGACTTCTTTACAGTGAACTGAATGCTCTCCAAAAGAGTCCAAACATGTCTTGCGACACACCAGACATATCTCGTCAGCTGGGTGTATTGGAATAATGAGTCGATATTTGAGGATAGTATGATACTCCACAGGAGACATATGTTGGCCAATCTCATCTATAGGGATAGCTAGAAGAAAATCTTGAGCATGTGGTGCACATAAGTACTGGAAAACCGCTTTCTGTCGAACCGTCATGTCGAGATGCACTTCCATATCATGGACAATTTTCCGAAAAGGGGCACTCGCCAGTGTATTATGAGATTTACGGCGGCGGGGGGGGGGGGGTGTCTTTAGTTGTAAAACTACTAAGGTTGATATCCGGAAGATTGTTACGAAGAGAAGCCAAGGCACAATCATAATCAAAATCCATACCATATATGTCGCTATCCCATAAGATGTGGTTTTGCAATACCCAAGACTTGCCCCTTGAGGCAACAAAAGCATATGAGGTAGCCTTTACTGCCGAGTATAAACCAAAACCACCAAACCTAATGGGTAAGGAAGCAATTTGTCACTGTATGTCGTCAAAGAAAGGGTTATGTTTGGCTGTCAAACCAACAAATAATGGGATAAAATAATATTAATAAAGCTCAAGTCACTGCTATTTCTTATACTAAAGATAGTATAGAGTAAGCAGGGTCGGTCCACAGGAATACAGGACTTCTTATCTTGCCATATTTTCACACATAATACAAATAATATTAAAATGGGGGATTGTGTTTGAACTAGATTTAAACTTCATAAATAAACAAGATTGTTAACAGAATTTAGTAAAAGAAATACATTTCCGATTCTGATTCTTATACATGTATTATGTTGAAAGATGCAAAATGAATATGATTATGTTCTATCTAGGTTGGTAATTTAGATACTAATAAACTCTAATATCCAAGTTGACAAAAAATGTTTTATTCAAAACATGTTCTTCAAATAAAACTTCATTTAATTGATTTAATTCAAATAAGCTCTTTCATCAAATCATTAAATGACTTTAAGTTCTTGCAACAATTACCAACAATATTCAATATTCCTCATAAGCTTGGGATTATGAACATTTAATCTTTGATTACACTCATTTTGATTTAATTACAATCAATTAAGTGCATGTTACTAACATCAAATCATAAAACATATACGAATTTTACAATTTGATTAACTAGATTGATAAAAACCCTAATTCATTGATCAAGTGAAAAAGAGAATAAACCAAACACATGATTAAGATCAAATCAAAGATTACTAGATGTTAAACACAAATCAAGTTCAAGTTACAACCTAACAACACATACTTAAGAATTCAGATTCGGAAATGATAATGAAATCAACCACACATGTCTAGGTTAAACTACAAATCAAACAAGTTTAAACTTCAAATTGACTTACAAAAAGGAAATTAAAGTGTTTCCAAGTGTTAATCTACTTCCAAAAGCTCTGAAAATCGCCTTCTCTCTGCCCAAAATCCGACCTAACCTCCAAAAAAAACCGATTGTCTGAATTATATGAGAGTAAAACTACTTTAAAAACTGTCGAGACGTTTACACGGCCCGTGTAAATTAAAGGGTGCAATTTACACGACCGTGTAAACAAGAAAAGTAGAATGCTCAATCCTTCCAGGCCTTCGAAGTAGAATGCTCTTGTATATGCGTTTACACGGCCCGTGTAAATTATAAGCTATCATTTACACGGCCGTGTAAATCCTGTGAAGCCAAATCTTCATTTCTTCATTCTCTCTCTTCAATGCTCCAAAACTTCTGAAACTTTGTCTCCAACTCTTTTTAACTTCCTCCATTAAGATCCAACCTTCAAAAGTCCCTGAAATATCATAAAAGTGTGTGAATGGAATTGCATCATGAAAAATCCCGAAAATATGCAAAATGCATGAGTTTAAACCTAAATGCAATGCACTTTTATGAACTAAAACTACAAAACGAATGCATGAAATGCACCTAATAAATCTCCCCAAGCTTGAACCTTTCTTGTCCTCAAGAAAGAACAAGAAGATTTAAACTAGAGAAAATAGAATAGAATAAAAGAAAAGAAAATTAAAGTTAAAACTATTTGAAACTTAATGCATGAAATCAAAACAAACATGAAAAGATCCAACCCAATTACCCTGTTTTGTACCATAGTTGAGAATGTACCTGTCATGCCTTGAGTCAACTTGGCTTTAGTCTCAAAATATTATATGATAATAGAAATAAGACTTTGGCCACTCCCTAATACAACTCAACAGAATCAAAGATCACAACACTTATTCCCTTTCAATATCATCAAGTCAATTCTTGGAACAAATTATGGTCTTACTCTCGTGAAATTATATGTGACAAAACATGCTCAACCATCTTTGTTTCATAAAATATAACAATGCCCGATTCCAGCTATTTGTTGGTCAACAACAATCTTTTTCTGAAAAATCTTTTCTAAAAATTCCCTAATATTTATCCAGATTGGTTACAAACTTCAAACCACTTACACCAGTCAAAGTAATTAACATTCAGTCCAATGTCATAAGTTCAAATCCAAGTCCAAGGGAATCTTTTGACAGCCAAGTATTTTTCCTAAACACAATATTCAATTAAACTATAAACACAATTATATACAAACTTCTTAATTATATTTTTTACAAATAAAGCTCATGGCTTTCTTTGAAATCCGTGTAACGGGCTTCCAACCAACACATCCAAATCAAATGACCTTAGTGTGCTAGATTTAAAGAG